TTCAAATTTTATTTGGAATATATTATTGTGTATATAAATAACAGTACAGGCGTATATTTATAGTCAGATGGCGAATAACGCCTCAAACCTTGTGCGTAAATAAAAATATGCTGACGTAAAAAGATTCTCAACTACAGTACAGAATGCCCGAAAGTACTACGTATCAAAATACGTTATTATATAATTCTCTCGACCCCCCAAACAATACATTTCTTTCCATTAACTGACTTATCAGGACATTTAGTTAAAATATGGTATTTATATCCTCGTAAATATGAGTGTACCACACTTTGTGAAATAACCTCTCGGCATATATCAAACCCCGATAATACGACAACCACAAGTAAAATATCTTAATTAAAGGGAGACAACTCCTAAAAGACTACGAACTGCACACACATCTATCCATCGTCACAAAGTGCGGTAGCATGCATGCAATGGATTCAGATTAAAATTATATCAACTTCCATCAGAGTTCATTACACATTTCGTTCAATAGATCTAAATTATATGATATATATGAAATTAAGGGTAAAACGTGTCAGGCATATTTGCTATGCAAGCTTTTTGAGAAAACTTGAGTCGAAGCTTATTTTAATCATTCTTATGACTTTTTATTTTAAAATAGACATTAGATTTATGATGTTAAGCCTTACTCAAAACAGGAGTTTTTTCTATGTATGTTCACAAATCTAAGTATAGCATTTTATTGTCCGACATTGTCTACTCATTCATTACGGCCTTTGTTGGCTATTCAGGATGAGAATAGGTCCTCAGTACCCCCGCTATAGACCCAACTCAATGGGGATCGGGAAATCAGGTTCTATGACTTGTCTTTGTTTCTTTGTTTGTTGTTTAACGCCACGCTCAGGAATATTCCAGCTATATGACAGCGTTCTGTAAATAATCGAGTCTGGACCAGACAATCCGGTGAATGACACCATGAGCATCGATCCACGCAGTTGGGATACGATGACATGCATCGACCAAGTCAGCGAGCCTAACCACCCGATCCCGGTAGTCGCCTCTTACGACAAGCATAGTTGTCTTTTACGGCAATATGGTTTGCTGAAGACCTATTCTCTACCCAGATCTTCACGGGTCTGATATTTCAGTAATACCACGGCGTGTCAGCGTGGTGTGGGAGGAAATCCCGGTGTGTTTCGAGTCTTAGACGTTTGCCACCATGGTAGACCCACGAGCACGGATGTGGTGCTGACAACCCTAGAAACAGCCAGGGTGAAATCTTGGATTCGAAACCACGATAATACATTTCTGGCAGCAGACCGATGGACGCAACTCTGTACAGCGAAGTGTGTCGCCTAACACGACTGGGTTACCTTTGCATCCTTCTTAAATAAAAAGAAGAAGAAAAAACGCTTCTGGAAACACACGAGATGCACATATTGTATCCGTGTGGGAGTCGAACCCTGTCTTCAGCGTGGTCTATACATAACTACCGTTCTTATGGCATATACAAAGCGTGTACCCGATGCTGCATGATATCTCTGACAACGTTTATGATTCTGGAATAAAGTGTTCTGATGGGCTCTTTTTGGCTTTTGATCGAGTATTTATAGTTCCTTTGTTAAGTGTTGAAGTTCTGAATTACAATATAATCTTCAAAGGATAAAGATTCTGTCCTTACTCCCCTTTTAACCACTTAAAAGACATGACATAAAACATGACAATCTACAGATTATCTGTCTTCATCTGGGATTGCTGTTGACGCAAGAAAGCAGATACTGTTAAAAACATCAGTGAGGTTTTTCCTCGCTGTTTTCAGCAATGCTGCAGCCATACACGGATGGGGACACAAGAATTGGCTTCATAACTTGCATATTATAATATATACAGTCTATTTGTGGGGAATCGAACCTGGGTCTCCGAGATGACGAGACAACACTTTAACCCCGGGGCTACCCCACAGCTTACAGATTAAAGATAAATAATCAAGGCCTAACAAGGAAACCAATACCTGTGAACATGAGCAATGTTCAAAGTCAGTCCCTTGGTTCAGTCCGGCTCTGTCACTTGTTTTCGCGGTCACGGGTGGCCAAGTCGTCTAAAGGCGCCGCGATTCACTGTGCAGAGTTGCGTCCCTTGGGCATGCCAGAAACCTATGATTGTGGGTTCGAATCCAGGTTCGCCGGTTTCTAGGTTTGTCAGCACCATACCCTTGCGGTAAACGTCTGAGACCTGCATCACTTCGGGCTTTCCTCCCACATTAAGCTGACACGCCGCGATATAACTGGAATACTGTTAAAAGCGGCCCACTCACTCACTTGTTGGGCCTTTACCTGTGGGGACTGCGGGTAAGAATATATGGGTCTCCAACTTGTCGTAAGAGCCGGTTTAATGGATCGGGGGGTCGGGTTTGGGGACTTGGTTGATACATGTCATCGTATCCGAACTGTATGAATCGATGCTCATGGTGCTAATCACTGGTTTGTCGGGTCAAGACTCGCTTACTTATACAGACCGCCGTCATATATATCTGGGACGAGTGCGGCGTTAAAGAATAAAAAAAGCAAAACTTCGTGACTTCTGTATATAATATGCGCCATATATAGTAGTATAGGCTATTCAACGACTACACCGAGAAGATCTGTAAAAGTAAATGAGTGAGTATTGTTTTACGCCACTTGTATCATTATCTCAGCAATATCATCAGATTAATAGGCCGCACACATATAGTATCCATGTACTTTGATCATATCTTCGTAAGACCCGTGACAATCCGGTGTAGAATTGGTCTTCGGCAAGCCATGATTCCCGTAAGATGTGACTATGCTTGTCATAAGAGGCGACTAACGGGATCGGGTGGTCAGGCTCCATGACTTGTATGGTTGATGCATGTCATCGTATCCCAATTGCGTGGATCGATGCTCTTGATATCAGTCACAAAATTGTCTGGTCCAGACTCGATTGTTTACAGACCGGCGTCATATAGCTGGAGTGAGTGAGTGAGTATGGTTTTACGCCGCTTTTAGCAATATTCCAGCAATATCGCGGCGGGGGACACCAGAAATGGGCTTCACACTCATATAGCTGGAATATTGCTGAGTGTGACGTTACACAACAACTAAACAAACAAATCTTCGAAAGCTACTCGAGTACCCCGTCAACGCCGTTACTGGCTGAGTCTGGGCCAGACAAACCAGCTGAGAGCAAGGTGTCCAGTCGGATAAATTACGGTTCTGTCTCGGTTTTTGTTTGTTTTTTGTTTTCCTTTTCAAATCTGTATGACGTTTGTTGTTGGCAACCTTTTAAAACAGGTTCTGCGTGTGGCTATCTTTTAAGACACTACGTGTAAATGAGTGCAATTTTCACTGATATACAGGTTTCTATGTGGCTATACATGTCAACTGTTGGCGTATGTTGTGTAATAACTTGTATCCAGTGAGCAAGGTTGGTGGTTTTGTCGCGGAGACGGCAATGGGCTCTTCTTTAAAGCCATCAGCGGTTACACGTGGTAATGAATTATAGCACTGCTTTGACATGCTATTTACATAACAGTGTTGACGGAAATAGACAATGATGCAACGAAGTCCGTGTAATCCATGGATCACGATGATGTTATTCCTGTGATGTGTTAGAGTCTGACTACGTCACTCCTATAGCTGAAGGCGGTCTGGTATTTAAAGAGTACAGCCCACCCTGTGCAGTTATTTCAACTGAACATATACTTAAAGTGAGTTTTTCCTCTTGAAAGTATATAAAGGTAGATTTGGTATAAGTAAAAGTTAAGAATTTGTAGCATTGAGAATAGTTAGGGCATATTTTCCATCAAAAATATAACACTCCTCGTACCTAGGTCTGGTGCCATGGCGAATAATTTCAAATCTTTTTGGTCCTTCTTTATTTCATGACTCCTCTGTGAAATAAAATAATTTGATATCGTGAAAATCACATGAATATTTTTGGTATGTTAACAATAAAACAGCAGTCCACCTTTTTATGACACTCCCAAGACTATACAGTTTTTATAGGTCTCTCCACGTGAACCTGCCATGTTTTGTTGACCCTACCCTATTTTTTAACAGTGACGTGTTTGCCTTCAAGGGTGTTAGGTATCCTGACTTACATGCACGATTGAATCATGATTACGTCTGAACGAAAAGGCTACATATATATGATGTAACTAAATTACAGAATGGTTCAGCTGAAATACATAAACAATTAGGTTAGTCCTTCGCCATGACTGTGGAAAATGTGTATTTTTTTAAAACCAAACCAATCTATACATATATAAAAGCACGTCTAGCCAGTTCTAGCCAGCTCCATACCAGTAGCAGGAAATTTATTTCTATTAATTTTAGAGGAGAGAATATTGCGTAATAAAAGATTTCATAGACTATATGTTAGTCTACATCAAGGTCTATGTATACATAAACACAGGAGTATTTGAAGGAAAGTAGTAATTACTACATATTTTCGGGCTCGAAAACGTCAATTAGGGCCTAACCATTTTAATTTTAAATTATGTGAGGATTAAGTGGCAAGCATTCGCGTACCCATTTCAGTCACTTGTAACACTAAACATTCAATATTTATTATTGAAACGTATTTCGTTGAAGAAGTTATTACGTTTGCCCAACGGGATTATCAAAATAAAAAAAGCGAGCCCCCAAAGTTACTTAAGTGAACTTAACCGGCAATTCATTGTAGATTTTACGTGTGAAAGTCAATGTGTGATTAAACTTGACAAGCCACGCCTTTGTCAATTTGTAAACCACGCCCCTCGGTCGATTTGCGTCCAAGGGGAGAAATACAACAACAAACTATACTCACGTTTTAAATCGATATTATATATACCTAAATGATAGTTTTGGTGAATTTAATTTCAGAAAAATACGGTGAGTGTGTTTAGAAAAATACTAAACCAAAAAAAATGGTTGGTTATTGTCGATACACACCATTTTAAAGTTAATAAGTCGATTTTATGTACAATAAGTTGACGAGATAGTAGCACCACTCTTCACCGCTAGGTGGAGCTAACAAACGGGGAAGTGTGAATACAGAGATGGGATGTGAAAAGTTGAACCTGTTCCATTAATGATTATATGTACGACATGGTTTAATATTAGGACTTACTGACTGATATGAACAATATGCCAGAAATTTCAAGGCAGCCAGCTTGCGACTGGGCATCACGGATTCAAATACATGGTACATTGTTCAAGAAACCGTTCGGCCATCAATCTAACAAGTGGTCGAAAAGGTAAGACATTTGCCAGTCGAAAGGCAATCATGGAAAAGTGATCCTAGAGTGCATCAATGACATTTGACATTTCGATATGTGGATGTTAACATGTGTTCGTTTAGTTTGTATTATTTGTCAAACCCGTCATGCTTGTTATTTTGTGAAGAGACGGTTGTATGGGTTTGACATATTGATTTTCTGTTTGTAAACAACACATGCTGAGGACAGACTGGTCGAGTTTAGTCACACGTGTAATCAAGTTATGAAAGTATATGACGTTCCTTTTAATATTGTTTCAGATGTGAGTGATATTTTCAGAATTCCCCTTCAAATGCCATATCATTCCATTACGTCACAGTATATACACACAGTATTTCTGGGAAATTACCGCAATTGAGGCATGTGTTCACTTCCTCCATAAAATCTAAAGCAGGCCCAGATATAGGGTATATCATGTTTGCTGCTCCAGTAATCTTATACACCGTTGGTAATAAGGTTACAGCCGAACTATTTGTATGTTACTCTATAGTTGATAATGTCATGTATGGCTAACTAGTTTAATTTGTATACTGTAGAATTGTACTTTGTACATACACGTGATATAACTTAGACTGGGTAATCGATTGTTCTTTCAGAATCAATTACTACCAGACTTTAAATCAAAGTTGAATGAGTCAAGAAGTTGACTTTTAGCTCAGGACCCTATCATATGATCAATATCAATTATCAAGGCTGTATACAGCTGGTGAAGATTACAACCACTGGCCATTTAAGTTGCAGAAGCACATCAGTGATAAGACAGACACTGAATGACTGAATACACATCCACATGCCTTGCTAGCTTCCTGATCTGATGTAGATTGCTTTGTGATTACACATACAGATTAGCTAATTAATACAGGTAGCACTAATAAAAAAGTTAGTTTTATTGAACTCAAAGATAATAATGGCCAAACCTTTTGTAGTTTTGAACACTGTATTGGGAAAATATCAAGCTGGTGGTCTTGGTGAATTAAAAGATCAGATACAGTTATGTCTAAACTATGTTTTTATGTGTGTGAGTTCTAATTGTGTATATAATGCATGCATTGGTTATGCTATCTTAGTGCTATGGTTTTACTTATACATGAGTCATACATCATATTGTTACACAGTTTTCTCGTACAGGATTTTACTTTAAGATTTATTTTGTGGCCGTTCCATTAAGATATTCCCTCAAGATTAATCATGTTGTAAGCATCAGCAGTTTAATACAAGTGACAAACAAAATAGCTGTGTATGATTGTCAGAGTTCAATGCTTTTAGCAGTAATGGACAGTATGTAGGGCTCCGATCTATGACAGGTCTCTAAACTTATATCTTAATCGTGTTAGAAATCCATTGTTCTATGATGACTTTTAGATGTTGGCATCATGTAGACTTGATTTATGACAGTGATATCAAAAGGCCATTTTTACAAAGGTATTGCTACATGTTTCGGATGGAGAGGATGTGTCATAATGATGAAGCAGGCAAACTTAAAGGTTAACAAGGTAGAAGAGTAGGGAAATGTCCAACCTATTTGACTGTTTGATCAGAAAACAGATGAGTGGTGACAAATATTAATCTAATGTTGCAAAATGTGATTGTTGAAAAACAATTGGGGTGATTGTAAGTGCAATATGTTTAGTTTGGAAATCAATACTGATTTAAATGTTTGGGTAGAATGTTCTTTGACTCTCGGTCTTTCTGCATGTTCTGTAAAATAGCAATTCCTATATTTTTTCACCAGTGATCAATTATTTGTGAAACAAGAGTGATGGTATTATTTGTGAATGGGGTATAAGGGGGTTTCACCACCTTTTTAAAACTGTGTTGGATGCAAAGGTAACTTGTACTGAATTCTGTCAGAAAAACAGAGGACTGAGAGTATAGTGACTGTTAAGGACACATTACAGAGCTTCAGATTGATACCAGTACTTATTGTAATTGGTGTAATAAGCACCTGCTGTGTTTAGAAAATTGACAAGGGGGCACTTATTAAAACCATGCACAAGTGAAATATGTTTACGGAATAGTAGTGAACAAATGTAGTTCAAATGTTGATGAAACTAAAGTGTTTTCAATATTAGTTAGTAGGCAATACAAATTAGTTAGCACCCCATCTGTGCTGCTTTTTTCTATAAAAAATGTTTGTAAATAATCTACGCAAGAAATTGCTTTTAAGCTTTACTTGCAGAGTGGTCTGGAAGTTTGTTGGGGGTTCTTATTGAAGTAGGGCACTTATTACAGCGAATATGGTAGAAATGAAGTGGCTCAATACCTGTGACATTGACAGGCAATGCATCAGAAATATGGAGTCGGAGGATCCCATTTTGTTCAGAAATTGATTGTTATATTTTTTTTTAGGGGTAAGTGACAAAGCCTTGACATTGGTGATTTAATGTACATCCATTTTCACCTCAGCACATGTTCAAGTGCTTTGAGTCATCAGGAGTAGGGTATTTATAGTTATTTTTATCACCTGCAAATATCATCTGTTATTGTGTTTCCCTTGCCTGGATTATGTTTTCCTGGTTTAAAGTTTATCAGTATAGAATCTACATCCAGATTTATGATTATGTCCTTGTCAGTGCTCATGAATATTCATGTAAATATTGCTGTCCTGGTCTCTTATGATTGAATGTCATAATTAAGGGTGTGGGGTATTATCGGTATATCGGTAAATTGAGGTTCATTCTTTCCATGATAGGTATCACAATAGAATATTTTCATGCTCGATATATTGGGTGATGTCAAAAAGCGATTTTATAGTTATTTTCTTGCCAAATGTCTTCGCTGCCCCACAGCTTGCATCCACGGCCCCAAGATGGCTGCGTATTTATTGACTGAATAAACATCATGCTGTACCAGCATCTTGTTTTGTTCCATTTATGAACAATTATTCATTGTTTAATGTATCAGATTGCTGCTGAATTCGAAACTTATTATCAAACAATATTTTGTAATACATATCGCAATACGGACTTGTGCATCGCTAAATATTGTGATACACTTTAAACCTACAATACCCATCCCTAGTTGTAATGGTTATAATTATCTCGACTAGCATGCAGTCGAAAATAAATAAAGTTATCCATTTGGTTAAATAAAAATATTTCTTCAAGTGTTACACTGTATTCACGAGCCCTCAAGTATCTTAATGTCAGAGCTGAAACGGAATGAGTATAGGCTGCAAGAGCTAAGAAGGGGTAGCAAATGGAATGAGGGTGATTGTATATTTGGAGGCTTTGTATCATGTGTATCACAACCATATCGGTTCATGAACAGATTAACTATTCATCTTGATGTTAGTAAATATGCCATTGTTAATTCCACACAATTTCTTCCATGTCGCTGTGGCAGAAGACTACATTCATAGGCTTCGGTAAGGACTACGCTGGTTCGAATCCCGCTGGCAACACGTTTCAGTAAATTGTTCTATTATCAGGATAAATTTAATGGGAAATAAAGAAGTTCCATCAGTGTCAAGGTGTGGTTAATGCAGAGTCAAAAACATAGGAGCCAATGTTTAAATCTATGCTGCCATGGTTACCGTATGAAGGTTATGATTGTCTTGGCGCTCCCATGGCTTTGTGTAGCGATACCCTGATCATCTTCTTTCTTTCATCTGATCATTAAAATTATGTTTTAATCAAGCCAAGCTTCCGTCTATTACAATTACATCAGTGCTTGTTTAACTAACCTAATAACAAATAATGGTCCATTTGTTCAAACTAGGAATTGGTTCATTTGGAAGCGTTGTTGATGGACGAGTACGGGAAGCCTAGTTGAATCAGAATCTTTAAAGTTTCTGCCAAAACTGAAATGGAATGTTGAAAGATGTTTGCTGTATCTTAAAAGATTTTCTGCATAAATGGCTGCATTTTGAAGGTTAAATCTTGAATGATGAGCCAAAGTTGTTATCTTGTCACATTCCCTCCTATTTCGGAAGAAGGTTCTGTTCTGGAGGTGTGATGGATTGTTGTTTTGCTGGACCATGTTCTCAACATGGAGGAGCACAGGTGCTGAGGGGTGTGAAGGGGATCGCCTTGCCTGCAAAGACTGCCAGACCCTGGTCATTGATAAACAGCTACCGGTAGTTAGACACAGCTTAGAGGTGCTTACTGGCTTACAGTCAGGTTGGATGTAGCAGGTGTGTGTTGGATGGAATGTGCATCTGGGTAGGGTAGAGAGGATATCTTGAAATGAATTGAAACAAAAACAGTTTAGATTTCGGATGAAATAATTGACTCTGGAGAGATCATCTTGCCAATTAAGTTAGCATCTCAGGGGGTCCTGATGGTGGCGTGATTGTAGGTTTGTGAAGCCTCGTTCTGTAATGCCGGAAGCAGTCCAGTCCGGATTTTAAGCAAATGTTATGGTTGTGAAACAATATGTCAAAGTTGTTTTTTTTTAAAAATTTAATGAGTTTTCAGTTGCAAATTTAAATTATTAAAAAACCTAGTCTTGATATATTCCATTTTGGAAATATCCTGGATCCCTGGAATTCACATAGCTTTACAAGTAAAATTCAATTTTCAAGTCCATTTGTGTTTACTAACCTATTGGCAGTAGCCTTCCCCACATTTTGAAAATCACATATGAACCTGATTTTGAGATGAAACATAAATAATACTGTTATGTTATTAAATACATATTTATGTTCACTGATGCTTCTGTGCACTGCAAATTTATATCTAAGGATATTATACATGGAACGCCTGCTTATGTATTGATTAATGTCTTAATTCTGTATGACCGCCCCCGGGGTCTAGAGGGAAAGTGGAAGGTCTGGGGTTTGATCCCTGGCCGTGTCATATCAAAAGATGTTAAGGGGTGGTTATTATTGTTACCTTGCCTGGTGCTTGGCATTAAGGGGCTATAACAAGGACTTGTCAGCTCAGAGCCCTAATAACTGCTCTGGCTAAAGTTACTTTAAATGCCTATCAAGAAACAAATGCAAATAACAAAATGAATAACAAAAATGGCAAATTAAC